CCGGCAAACCACCGTCCCCAGTCAGCCCAGGAAGTGGTCCCTGGGGAAGCCCACACGACCCACCTCGGGCTCACCGCGTGGTACTTAAAACGGTGATGCCACCACTCTCACACGCTAAGGCTGTCTCTCATGTCCTCCTGTCACAGGGCTTGATGGACGGGTCCCCTGGGCTCAGGTGCAAAGTCCCCCCCTCCTGGTGCAGGGCGGCTGCTCCCAGCATTCTGGACGCGCAGTGGGCTCCCCTTGGGGACGCGGGGCCTTCGGGGTCAGGGTGCCAGCTTCTCGAGGTGTGACACGCTGGCTAACGATTAGGGACACCATCATCTCAACCAGTTAGTGCCACATGGCCCTGTCCAGCCGGCAGTGGGAGGGTTCCAGCAGCACCCCTGGAGAGCGCCACAGTGTCAGCCTGGGACGGAGCGGGAAGACCTGGCAGCATGGACTGGTGGTGCCTGCCAGGCTGGGGACACCGGAGCCCCAGCCCCAGCGGCTGCCTCACCTGAGCCCAACGTGAGCTGGCGACCCACAGGATCACACCAGGACCCCAGCCAGATGCCCCGCCGGCCCCACCCGGGGCAAGGACTCAGCCTGGGGTGGCTCTGCGGGCTCTGCATCACAGTGGGGAGGACATGCTCCGAGCATCTGGTGGGCTGAGGCAGGGCTGCCGCTCAGAAGCATCCCCAGAGCACAGGATGGCCCTGGGGGACACCAGCCCAGACCCAGGGGCCCAGGCAGAGGGGAAGCCCTGCTCAGAAGAGGCACCAGTCACTGCCCGCCGCAGGCCCAGCGCCCGGTGCTCACCGCTCCAGCCGAGGGCCTCCTCGCAGAAGCGCCCTGAACTTGACACAGCCCGTCCCCCGTCCCCTGTCCCCCGTCCCAGCCGCAGCACGCACTCTTCCTGCCCATCGGGGCAGAGATCCCTCCTCAGATTGAGAGGCCTCCCCGTGGGCCCCATAAAGGAGAGTCCGGCCACCACCCCACACTGGCCCTCCCCTGACCCCTCCACAGCCGACATGGCTGCTGGCACAGACTCAATGACGTGCCAGCGTGCCCCCCTGGCACAGGGCGGCCTGGGACTGGCACAGAGCTGGTGCTCAGGAAGGTGGGTTTGCTGAGGCAGGGAGGCTGGAGGAGGCCTCAGGAGTTGGCAGCCCGGGATGGGCCACCAGGCACACCCGGCATCCTCGATGCCATCAGTGACGCCAGGAACTTCTCTGAGTGGTGTGGTTTCTGTGTTCTCCAGGCCAGCCTCAAACTCCTGGGCTCAAGTGATCCTCCTGCCTCAGCCTCCCGAACAGCTGGGACCACGGGTGCAGGCCCGGGACCAGCTGCTCCCTGCAGCCTTTAATCCTGAGTCCGCTCCTGGAAAGAGGCGCGCGCACGACCTGCCCATTTTACAGAGCAGGGCATGAGGCTCTGCCCAGGAAGGACACAGAGCCACTGAGAGGCCGAGCGGGTCTTGAATCTAGGCAGCAAGTCCCAGCCCCACCCTGACGGGCAAGTCGCCGGGCCACGGACCGCAGTGGCCTAGAAACAGGCAGCAGCTGCCTGGTGGGGTGCCCCAGGGAGCAGCCATCTGTCTGGACCCCGTGGCCACAGCCCTGGGAGGACAGACCTCTCCCTGGAGGTTTCCTTCAGATACGAAGAGGCCTTGGAGTCACTCTGAGACCCACACTGGCAACCTGAGCTGCCAGGGACGCCGCCTGTTGGCCCCCAAGGACACCCCAGTCTCAGCTGGGGTGACCTCACTAGACAGATGGCGAAACCTGAGAGGACCAGGGGACAGGCTGGGAGTGGCCCTAGCCTATGGCAAGGACAAAGGCAGGCAGGGATGCATCCCAAGGACCCCAGCCCCAATGTGTGCCTAGTGGCCAGGGTCCAGGCCCGCGGACCTGGAGCAGCATGCACACACCACGGCCAGCCACGGCCACCCGGGACGGGCACCCCACGGGCAGTGCCAGCAGACCCCACCAGCCTGAGCCAAGACGGCTTCCCGGCTGCGAGGACACCAAGGGCTCGGGGCTGGCGGGAGACGCTCCAGGGTGCAGGGCCCCAGGTCAGAGGGGCGGCTGAGGGACCCGCACCCCAGGGCACAGAGCCCCTCTCCACCGCAGACACCCAAGTCCCCCCGACTCCTGTGGAGGCCTCACACTCCCTTTTCCAGGGCTAGGAGGCCCCAGGAGTCCTCTTCTGTGTGGTGCTGGAGACGTCACCAAGCCGACACCCCCCACCCAGCCTCGCCCCACCCTGGGGCACTGTGTCCTCTCAGGAAGCAGGATGTGAGCCTGACGGGGGCCAGAGGGTTCAAATCCTGCCCCTACCATCCACGGCTGTGTGACCCAGACAAGGAGCACCACCTCTCTGTGCCTCAGCTGTGGGCGCAACGGACAATCCAAGTATTGCGGCCCGGTGAGGCCGGAATGAAATACCGCGGGCGGAACGTGGAGCCCCAGCTCTAGGGCCAGCTCTGCGGCAGCTTGTCTCCCGGGACGTGGGGGCCAGGTGAGCGCGCAGACACCCCCACACAGGGCAGAACTCCTACTGGGGCCTGGAACATGGTGGGTCCACAGGAAAGTCAGCGACTGTCACGCACGGTCCCCACATGGGACAGGCCTGCTGAGCCCGGCCAGTGCAGCCCCAGTACCAGTGCTGCCCGTAAAACGCTCTCCTGGGGCTCCGCAGCACCCCAAGGGCAGGGGAGGGGCGCAGGCACTGTGGACCGCAGCGGGCCACCTGCACACCAGGAGGGCCATGTGCCTACCCCGCACGCCCGCACCCCACCCGCGACGCCCACTCCCAACCACGTGACCTCAAAGGAGCCGGCCGCTGGGTCAACTTCCTCTTCTGCTGAGGTTTGAGCAAGGCGCAGGCAAGGCCTCTGCCCGGGCTTCCGGGGGACGCCAGGGGCTGGGCGGGGAGGCGCCCTGGACGGCCAAGGAGACACTGTTGTTCAGCGTCATCTTCCGGGGTGAGAAGGGCCTCTCCAGGGTCAGGGATGGTCAGGAAAAGCCCGGCGGAGAAGCGGGCATTTGAGCAGACAGGATGGAAGTGACCCAGCAGTTCCGCGGGTGTCTGGGGACATGGCCAGTGCAAAGGCCCTGGGCAAGGCCCACCCTCCCTGGCCAGTCCTCCACAGCTCGCCTGCCCCTGCCCACTGCTCTCCACTGCGAAGCCCTGAGGGACCTGGGTTCAGTCACCACACGGTTATCCATCAAGCCCACCCAGTGTCACCTCCAGAGAGGCTTGTCCGCCTAGGTCACTGTGTGTCCCAGAACCTGAGATCAAGCCCTCCATAACCGTGTCTGAGTAACTGATGAGCCATCTGCGCGGACCCCTCTACCCAGCCCCTTCTAGGCCCAGGCCCGCCCCATCCCCACCCCAGAGGAAGGTGGCGCAAAGCCCCAGCTGCCACAACCTGCTGGGGAGGTGTGACACCACAGAGGCAGGGGACACGCCCAGGAGGCCCCAGGGGAACTGGGTGCTCCTCCCCACTGGCCTGCACCCCAGGGCTGGGCCCTGCAGCCTGCCCTGCACCCACGGCACCCGCCATGGGCTCTGAGCCACCTCACCCTGGCCTGCCCAGCACGCCCTGCAGGGGGTCTGCCCAGGCTCCAGCCAGGACAGGATTTCAGACCCCAACTCCCCGCTGCTTCTGAGAAAAGTGACCAGGGCTACAGGTGGCTGGAGCCAGCGTGTCTCCTGATCTCCGGCCCAGCGGGCTTCACCTGCTCCCCGGCCCAGCGGGCTTCACCTGCTCCATGCTGGGCCTCTGGCAGGAGGCCAGACAGGGGCCCAGGGAGCCAGTCCTCCGCCCAGGGCAGACATCACTGATGGAGCGCAGATGTTGCTCCTGCGCTCTGTCAGCGGCACCACCACCTGGGCTCACATACTCGGCCGACCTCTGCCCTCCCCTCCCGGGGACCTCAGTTTCCTCTTCTTGTCACTCCTAAAGAACAGGCTCGTCAGGGTGGGTAGGCAGGGGACCTCCACCAGGGTGCCTTGAGCCTCTGCTGAGGGTGGCCCCCTGTCCCCCTGGCTCCCCCATGGAGATGCCCACAGCCTCCTCCCCCGGCTCTGATGGCCAAAACGCCCCCAGCATTGCCGACGTCCCCCAGCTGAGGGCACTGCACTGTGGCCCGTCAGGAAAGCGGCCAGAGCCAAGTGGGGGGGTCTCAGGGTGGCCCCGACTACTCTCTCTAGGAAATGAGGACTCAGAAAGGCACCGACTCTGATGGGTCGGGAGGCTCTTAGGGGTGACAGGCGCGTCCTCAGGTTGGTGACTGTGATAACCCCAAGACCTCAGCCCTGCTCTCAGTGTCCCTGCGCCACCAGGCCTGCAGGTGGGGCCTGGAGCAAAGGCCTGAAGTGACAAAGGCCCCAGGATGCAGGGCGGGGAGGATGGCTGGGGCCCTGGGGTCCCCTGCAGTCTGACAGGACAATGGCTGGAATGTGGTGTCCCCTCTGGGGGCTGACATTTGACAGCTGAAGACAATGACTTTCAAGAGGTTTTGTTTCCTGTCCAGAGTTTTTTTTAATCTCCCCAAACAATCGTCCCTGGCTGCAACCTCCTTCCCAGTCCCGTCCCAGTCCCCCTCGGCCTGCAGAGGGTCCTGTGTGCAGAGCCAGAAAAACAATGCACAAAAGTGAGAGAATGCAAAAATGCAGGAGGGCCTGGGTGGCAGGACAGGGCGGGAGGGCCTGGGTGGCAGGACAGGGCGGGAGGGCCTGGGTGGCCTGCAGAGGGTCCTGTGTGCAGAGCCAGAAAAACAATGCACAAAAGTGAGAGAATGCAAAAATGCGGGAGGGCCTGGGTGGCAGGACAGGGCGGGAGGGCCTGGGTGGCAGGACAGGGCGGGAGGGCCTGGGTGGCCTGCAGATGCAGTCTCCTGGGGTTGTTCTCCCAGTGCCTGGGCAGGCCCAACCCCGGAGTCCCAGGAGCAGAGTGCCACCCTGGCTCAGCTGCAGCTGGGTCTTCAATTTAGGGAGTGTCTGTAATGTTCCCACTGCTTCCCACGCACTGCCTCATCCCAGGCAGCCCTACCCTCTTTACAGAAAAGAAGACCCAGGTTCTCAGTGGACACCGTGAGTGCACACATGTGGGATCTGGGCCAACAGAGTGCAGGTGCTGATCTTCTGCCACTCTGGGCTTCCCTGACCTCCTGCTCACTTCCGACTCGTGGTGGGGCCACATCATTAAGTCATCTCCCCACAGAGCCAAAAAGGCAGGTACCTTTGTCCCCAGAGTCCAGCCCAGGCCTGGCCCTCTGGGCCCAGGAGAAGGAGACCTGGCAGGAAAGTGGCAGAGTCAGTGACACCTCAGGCTCTCAGAGAGGTCCAGGGAGCCTTGACACTGCCGTAGCTGAGTGAAGGGCCAAGGACGCCCCACAGATGCCCACACGCTGATCCAAGACACCTCTCAGGTGTCCCCTTACAGCAAGAGGGACTGTGCAGACGGTGACAGTCGTGAAGTGGGAGGTTCTCCGGCATTACCCAGGTGGGCCCCAGGTCACGGCAAGGACCCTTGTGAATCAGAGGAGGGGCCAGAGAGCAAGGGTCAGAGTGCGTGGAAGGCGCGGGCTGCTGGCGGGAGCACGGGCAGCCCCGAGTCCAGGAGTGCGGTGCTGCATCCTGGCTGGGCACAATTCACAAGCCACTTGTCAAACAGAAACGAACTTTAGTTTTAGAACACACACGCCGCACCACACAGCTCCTCAGGAATCCCTCAGAGCCCAACTGCCACCACGGCTTCCCAGGAGCCTCTCAACCCCCACTCCTCCTGCTCTTGAGGCCGATTGGCTGGGTCGAGTGGGCGGAGCCAAAAGAGTCCCCCAATGAGCAGCTCCGTGGTCTGAAAGGGCGGGGAAACAGCCCAATGAGCATCACCACAGAGGAGCCAATCAGCTGGCAGCTGGAAGTTTGCTGGGGCCCCTTCGGCTGTGGCTCTCAACAGCACGGCCTCCAGGAGCTGCGAGGGCAAGGGGTCACCTGGAGACTTGGGCCCAGCCCCCTCGGCAACTGGATTCGGATCCCTGAGTCCCAACTCAGACTTGTTTTTGACTCCAGAGCTATAAGGTGACCCATCTGTATGGTTCACGGACACGGAGTTGGCAGCGACTTGTCACAGCCACCATGGGAAGGCCAGGCACTGTCCAGACGGCGAGGAGTCTCCATCCCCTCCACGTCACCACGGCAGATGCCTCCCAGCCCCGCGGGGTCACAGCCAGGCCTCACCTGCACCTGCAAGGGCAGACGGCCCACTCACAGGTGGATGGCCAGGGGGGCGGCCACGGAGGATGGATGGCCAGGGAGGATGGATGGTCAGGGAGGAGGGCCAGGGTAGATGGCCAGGGAGGACAGCCAGGGTGGATGGTCAGAGTGGGCAGCCAGGGTTGTCAGGGCGGGCGGCCAGGGTGGATGATGGTCAGGGTAGACAGGGCGTGGAGAGCCAGGGAGGACAGCGAGGGTGGACAGCCAGGGTGGATGGTCAGGGTGGATGGATGGTCAGGGTGGAGGATCAGGGGGTGCACTGTCAGGATGGATGGTCAGTGGATAGACAATCAGGGTGCACGGCCAGAGTGGATGGCCAGGGAGGATGGCCAGGTGGGTGGTCAGGGAGGACGGCCAGAGTGGGCGGCAGAGCACTAGTCATTACCGTAATGATGTGGCCACACGAAGCACCCTGTGCTGCCGGTCAGCTCGTTCCCTGAGCCTGGCAGGTAGGAAACTCCTAGTGAGTGGGGACAGGGTGGGACAGAAGCTCAGACAGAGTGAGGACACAGAGCCTGGGACCAGCCAAAGGCTTGCCGCATGCCAATGCCAGGGTACCGAGGAGGGGACTGCTCGGGTCCCCAACCCACAGACAGGGAAGCGTCCCTGAGGGCAGAGTCACATGCTCAAGTCACCTCTGCAGGGAGGGAGGACGGAGCCCAGAGGCAAGACTGTGGCAAGACCACATGTCCCCCTGGGCTCGAAGATGGGGAAACTGCTGCAGGGAGGACCGCAGGCCAGACACCGGACACTCCAGCGACCAGTACCAAGGCGCGTGGGGTCAGCCATGGCCTCGCTATGGCCCACGCGCAGCCCCCACTGCCCTGAAAGAACCTGAACACCAGCAGGACCAACTTGGGAAGGAGGGACAGACGGACGGATGGACAGGGGACTCCACAGCTCCCACACCCTTCTCCCGCCCCAACAGCTCTAACTTGACCTTGACTCAGGGGCCCACCATGGCTGTCCCCCCACTGTCACCTCAGCGCCCAGGAATTTGCTCCTCTCAGTCACCTCATCCCAGCCACAGCCCCAGAGCTCAGCACCATGGAGCCCCCGTCCCTACCCTCAAATGAGCAGGTGACAGGAGAGGAGGGGCCAGAGGGGACAGAGGGGACAGGAGGGGAGGGGATGGAGGGGAGGGGAAGGCACGAAAGGGACAGGAGGGGAGGGGATGGAGGACAGGAGAGGAGGGGAAGGAGGGGACGGGAGGGGAGGGGAGCAGGAACAGGGACCATGGAACAGGGCCTCTGGAGGATCACAGGGACCCCCGGCCGTATCGCACAGCAGCTCGGCATCTGGGGAGCCCTGGGCCTCCATTTCCCCGGCTGTCCACCGCTCAGAGCTTTCCACCCTGGTCCCAAACACAGCCTGGGACCCTGGAAGCCACTCCATGCCCCATCCTGTCCCTCTCTGCATAACGGAGGAGGGGAGCCCCAGGAAGCAGCCTCCAGGCTTCGTGACCAGGGAGGCCCCCCACCCCCCACCCCCGGCCCAGACCGCACTGCGTCACCTTGATGGCAAGGGTCCTCTCCCAGGACCACCCGCCTGCTCAGGGTCCCTGAAAGCCGTCTGCTACGGGAACGTCATGGCCCTCATGAGTGCCAGCTGCCCGCGGCCCCCCTCGGCTGTCTGTCTGGCTGCCGTCTGTGGCGGAGGGGTTCGGGCCAGGGCACATGGCCATCCACACCCTGGCCGGGTAAAAACTGAGATTCTTAAAATCACAAATGCCCATCGCTGGGAGAACGAACGAACGGATTCTGGAGTCCCCCAGAGAGGCTGGGGACACAGGTGGCATTGCACCACCTCACCAGAGGAGGAGGGCGAGGCGGCGGGGCAGAAAGTGGGGTTCCACCACCACCAGGTTCCAGAATCCCAAGGCTGCCCTCGGAGGTCAGGGCCGGGCACCGTCTGGGGGCCACAGCGGCTGTGCAGAGCCTCACCTGGGCAACACATGGGCAAGGTTCAGGGGCCGTCCCCTAGAGTAGCTCCCGTGAAGTACAAAACTGCACCAGAAAAAGCATCAAAAAGCACTTTTTTCAATAAAGCTATGACCTAAAAGGGACTGTCCCCTCCCCCTGGCTCATCCACCTACCAGACAGGATCAGCTCCGCTGAGGCCTGTGGCCAGCGCGGCCCTCGGCCTGGGCTCACCCCCACCCTTCCTGCCTCACACCCGGGAGACCTGGCTCCTGGGCCTGTTGCCAAGACACAGCTGCTCGCACCCAGCATGGGAAGGGGGTCATGAGCCCACACCTACAGCAGGAGCAGTGCCTGGCAAGGAGACCTGCTTGCCACTGTGACTTCAGTGACACGCACCTCGGCCACACAGACTCTTCCTGCAGGAGGGATCCCCCAGCCTGGGGGCCCCGGGTCAAGACCTCAGAAGTGCAGCAGGCAGAGGTGACAGTCTGCAGGCACATGGGCAGCAGTGCCCAGGACACACCCAGGGTCCCAATATCGCCCCACCACCAGCCGCAGGACACGGACCGGCTCAGATCCAACGTCCAGCTCCCCGCCCCCCGAACTTCCCACCACAGCAGGCTGGGGAGGAAGCCGGCGACCAGCAGGAGGAATGTGACCGCACAGAAATCACGTCGCCACGTCGTGTCTGCAGCGGAAAGAGGAAGGGGCAGCGCTCGGAGCAGCCGTCTGGAGAAGTCACTCGGGCTACCCAGTGGCCACAGGCAAGTCGCCGACCGCACCAACCTCAGCTTCACTGGTCTGTGAGAGGGGCAAGGTGGCAGGTGCCCAGGGCCACCATGAAGATGGGGACAGAAGTCAGAAGGCGCTCACTAGCCCAGGCCCAGCGGGCAGCGGGCGCTCAGCAAACCCCCTGACGACACCAAGTTCAAGTCCATCATCCTGGCTCTGGCTACCACGTCCTCTCAGAGCCTCCTTCAGCTAAGCTGGTCCTGCCCAATGGCCTGCAAGTGCCACATACCCACCCACTAAGCACACAATGCACCCACAGTGTGTCCGCAGAGGCAAGAACCTTCCCTGGGCAGAGCCTTCGTGCGCCTTCTCCCCACATGCACTCGCAGCAAGATGGCCAAGACCTGGTGAAGGGGCATAAGCCAAGTGGACAGGGGGGACACTGTTCCAGGCAGAGGGAACAGCACATGCAAAGGCTCAGAGGCCAGAGCAGATGAGCAGCAAGGACAGGGCTGAGTCAGGGAGACAGAGGGCAGCGGAGGGAATGAAGCCGGGAGCCAAGCAGGAGCCCCAGGGCAGTCCTGAGGGTCACCTGGGGCCTTCGCTTGCCCCTGAGCAAGGTGGAAACCACAGGCTCCAGGCGGGGGATAAGATGTGACTTGGTTCTAACAGATGCTCTGGCGTGTGGAGGGTGGACTGAAGAGGGCGAGCCAGGGCCCATGTGGACCCCGGGGCCTGGGCGGGTGGAAAAGTGGGTGGACACTCAACTGCCCTGGGGCCGAGCCCAGGGGACCTGCAGACAGATGGGGGGGGGATGCGACTCCCAGGTTCTGTGACACTGGCGGACAAGAGTCACTTTTACTCAGACAGGAAAGGCTGTAGTTTGGGTGACAGAGTAGAGTGAGCGTTCAATCTGGGACATTCTGAGTCTCTGCCGTCACGCCAGCCATCGGCGGGCGAGGAAGACAGACCATTAGTCAGCACGTCCTTCCGCTGTGACCAAGCAGGCGCGAAGAAGGTCTGGGCAAGGAACCCAGGAGGGGCATTCAGGGCAGGCTGCCTGGCCGGGCCCCAGGAGCAGAGCCGGGCTGGGGAGGGGCGAGAGCGGCTGCCTCTCCTGCTCCCCCCCCTCGCACCCACAGCCCAAGCCCGAGAATGGAGGCAGCCTGGCCCCGAGGCCTGAGCTCTGGGGTGGCACAGAGCTGGGTTCAGAGCCCAGAGCTGCCCCTCCTCGCGAGCTGGTCTTCCCGCGACAGAGGCTGCTTAGACGGCTTGGGGTGAGCGGAGCCTGCACCCGGGAGCGGTGCCCACCGCCTCCCCAGCCCCAGGGAGAAGCTGCCCTGTGGGAAAGCTGAGCAGGGCTCCGACCACAGGCCAGGCCCGGCCTCCAGGGCCCGCTCCTGGCCACCCTGCCCAGGGCACAGCAGCCTGCGGGGACTTTCCACAGGTCCAAACCAGGAACTGAGCGGACGTGCGCAGCCTCAGGGCTGCACCGAGGGTGTTTTTCCACAGGGAGGCCGAGCGCAGTGCTGCGGCTGTTCAGAGTGGCCACTGCCCGCTGCCAAG